GACGATGCTATGTCCTCTAATGAGTCTTCAACACCTGAGATTCTCTCTTCTATCTCTTGTATTCTATTGGTGATGCTTGCATCTGTAATTCCAGACCGTTTACCGAGCTTTTCTATTTCCAGCATCCCTTCATTCTGTGTTTTCTTTATCGTTTCTATTTCAGCTTTCAATCCTTCAACTGTTTGAGCTGTTTCCTTAATTTTCTTGGTTGTTTTTTCTTGGTGCTCTTTAGATTCTTTGAGAGATTTGTTTATTTCTTGAATTTTCCCCCCATTTCATGGATTTTTTTTTGTTTTTTCTTCTATTTCTTTAAGGGATTTCCTCGTTTCTTCTTTGAGGCTCTCCATCATCTTCATGAAATAATTTTTAAGGTCTGTCTCCTCTTCTTCATTTATGTAGTGCTTTTCAGGTCTTGCTGGTGTTGGATCCCTGGATTCTGGTGGGGTCATGTTGGTGTTTCTATTGCTGAGTGATCTCTTATTCTGTCTTCTTCCCATCTCTTCTTCCAGTGGGTGCTGGTGGGGGCTTTCTGTCTCCACTGGTCTCCTTCCTTACTGCAGCTGAAGCTGAAGCTGGCCTCGCTGGGGTTGGGGTCTTGGAGGGGCTGATCTCTTTTCTGAAGCTGGGCTCGCTGGGTTGGGGTCTTGGAGGGGCTGATCTCTTTCCTGTGTGGGCGGCTCTTCTGAAGCTGGGCTCCCTGGGTTGGAGTCTTGGAGGGGCTGATCTCTTTCCTGTGTGGGCGGCTCTTCTGGAAGCCGGGAGCAGCCCCGAAGATGGAGGGGGATGGGTGATGGGCGGGTGGTCCCAGCCAGAGACCCAATCTCACCTGAAGCTGGGCTCGCTGGGTTGGGGTCTTGGAGGGGCTGATCTCTTTCCTGTGTGGGCGGCTCTTCTGGAAGCCGGGAGCGGCCCCGAAGATGGAGGGGATGGGTGATGGGCGGGTGGTCCCAGCCGGGGACCCAATCTCACCTGAAGCTGGGCTCGCTGGGTTGGGGTCTTAGAGGGGCCTGTGTGGGCAGTTCTTCTGGAAGCCGGAATTGGCCCCGAAGATGGAGGGGGATGGGTGATGGGCGGGTGGTCCCAGCCGGGGACCCAATCTCACCTGAAGCTGGGCTCGCTGGGTTGGGGTCTTGGAGGGGCTGATCTCTTTCCTGTGTGGGCGGCTCTTCTGGAAGCCGGGAGCAGACCCGAAGATGGAGGGGGATGGGTGATGGGCGGGTGGTCCCAGCCGGGGACCCAATCTCACCTGAAGCTGGGCTCGCTGGGTTGGGGTCTTGGAGGGGCTGATCTCTTTCCTGAAGCTGGGCTCGCTGGGTTGGGGTCTTGGAGGGGCTGATCTCTTTCCTGTGTGGGAGGCTCTTCTAGAAGCCGGGAGCGGCCCCGAAGATGGGGGGGATGGGTGATGGGCGGGTGGTCCCAGCCGGGGACCCAATCTCACCTGAAGCTGGGCTCGCTGGGTTGGGGTCTTGGAGGGGCTGATCTCTTTCCTGTGTGGGCGGCTCTTCTGGAAGCCGGGAGCGGCCCCGAAGATGGAGGGGGATGGGTGATGGGCGGGTGGTCCCAGCCAGAGACCCAATCTCACCTGAAGCTGGGCTCGCTGGGTTGGGGTCTTGGAGGGGCTGATCTCTTTCCTGTGTGGGCGGTTCTTCTGGAAGCCGGGAGCGGCCCCGAAGATGGAGGGGGATGGGTGAAGGGCGGGTGGTCCCAGCCGGGGACCCAATCTCACCTGAAGCTGGGCTCGCTGGGTTGGCAGTTTGCCTCTACTTTAAAGCCAGAAGTGGCCTTACACTTTCGGGGCCAGCTAGAACCAGCCCTGCAAATCTGAACTTCAAGCCTTAAAGCCAGACTTAGCCTCCCCAGGGTCAAAGTGACCCTTTCATGCAGGTGGAAGGACACATTGCCAGAACATAGAAGACCAGGACAGACAGAAAATGCTGCTTGCTATGCCAAACTTCCACCTATTTTCAGCTCCACACTAACTTTGTTTCTAGTTTTAAAGCTTCTGTAAGCTGACTGTGTGGATTGCTATGAAAAGAAAGTGCTCCCACAGGGTTTTTTCTTCAGAACTCTAGCCAGTTATTGTAGATAAAATGACCATCATGGCCAGGAACGTGGCAGCAAGCAGGCAGGCATGGTTGGGGGAGCAGTAGTGGAGCTAATACAGCCCTGAGGCAGAAAGAGACAGAGCTAACTGAGAGTGCTGTGGGCTTTTGGAACTTTAAAGACTACCCCTTGTGACATACCTCCCACAAGGCCACACCTCCTAGTCCTTCCCAAATAGTTCTACCAACTGGGGACCAAGTATCAAACATGAGCCCATGAGGGCTGTTCTCAACCAAAACACCATGCTTTCCATGACAGATTAAAAGGTTTAGTTTCTGTATAATTTGCTCTCATCATGTCTTTAACAGAATGCTTGGCAGAAATAACTTGAGGGGGCAATTTTACATCACAGTTAGGATAGAAAGATAGGAAAAGTTTGAGGGATGTAAGAAGGGAAAGGAGCTCCTCATGCAGGAATCCAATATATCTTCACACCAATGACTTCTGTGGTGTCCAGCATGTGCATGGCTCACATACAAACATTCAGAAACACTGTGTGTGTGTGAGTGTGTGTGTGAGTGTGAGTGTGTGAATTTTTGACACTGCAGGTCATGTCTTCCATGTTAGAGATATTCCTCAGATGCCTTAGCAGTACTTGGCTCTGTTAGGCAGGGAAGGTCTTTGAAATACTCATTTTGAACACACTAAATTTCATATGCTAGTTAGGTATACAAGTGGAGACTTGGGGTAAGGCAGTCATGGTTGTGGTGTTTAAGAGGAAGGCCCAGGAATTTAGTGAGGGTTTGCTAGTGTTCATATATCTTAGACCAAGTGAGCTCAGTCAGAGATGGATGTTTGGTTGGAAGCGCCATTCCAGCCTCTCCTCCATTCCAAACCCCTCCCCTTCTCAGAAAGCCTGCCAAGAGGTGGCTCCTCTCTAGGAGATGTTCAAGACCACGCCTGTGGGTATTTAAGAGCCAGACCCTGGACCTGCCATGTGATGTCTCTCCTACTCTCTTCCCCTGAGAATCACCCAGGAGTTGCTTTGCTCTGTTTATTAATCCTGGTCTTATTAATTGGGTTTCGTCTGATTACTGTGTCAGTGGAGAGACTTAATATTGGGGTACAGAAACCTTTCAATGACTAAGTAAGGAATGTAGGCAGAAAACAGGTTGGATGCATTCCAATGTTGGAATGTGAGGAATTTACTGGAGTCTTGAATTTGGTTGTCATCAGTAGAGAAACTGTATTTGACGTGATGACTTCTCCATGTATAGCAGTGGTTTTCAACCTTATTAATAGTGTGACCATTTAATATAGTTCCTCGTGTTGTGGTGACCCCCAACCATGAAGTTATTTTTGTTGCTACTTCGTAACTGTAATTTTGCTATAATATGAATCATAAAGTAAGTATCTGTATTTTCCAGTGGTATTAGGTGACCCCTGAGAGAGGGTCATTCAATTTGCCAGGGGGTCGTGACCCAAAGGTTGAGAATCTCTGATATACAGGAAATGGGTGCAATGGTGACAGTTTTCTAAACTAGCTTCAAACCACTCTTGTGAAAAGCCTGCCGGATGTTGTATCTTCACTAGGGACACAGGCCTCATTCTCCATGAATTCTATTTTTTTGTTTGTTTGTTTTTCAAGACAGGGTTTCTTTGTATTGTTTTGGAGGCTGTCCTGGAACTCACTCTGTAGACCAGGCTGGTCTCTTAAGCCAAGCACACAACAACCTGGAGATTTTCACTAAGCGACCCCTTTGACATTCCTTCTGCAAGAACATTTGACAGTGTAGGGGATTGTGTTACTCTGAAAGCTCTACTGCCATCTAGTGGGTGGAAGCCAGGTTTGCTGCTAAGCAGCCTGCAGTGCCCATAGCAAGAATCAGCCATTACCCCTACCTTGTCGTGGTGCTGTTGTGAAGAAACATTAATATTGCCTGTGTTGCTTTTCTTCTATTAGCCACAGTTGAAAAAAGGACCCTGAGAGTTGCAAAATCTGAGAATGCTAAAGGTTTGTGTGCTGAGTTACGAAAGTACTGGTTGCTGTGAAATCTGACCTGAGGAGTTGTTTTGGCTCTCAATCTTTGCCACTGTGTTTGTTTCAATCCTAGTGATACTGTGAATCCGTGCACAAAATGAATACGAAACAAGAAACATAAATTATCTTTGTGTGGCTACAAGCTTGGGACCAGTGTGAAAAAAGAACATCACATATGCTTCATGTTTTTTTTTTCCTTATATGGTTTCATTTTTGCCCAAATGATGGCAAATGTACTTTCTTTTAATTAGATTCATTTTTCACAGCCCAGATGAATCATATCACAGATGTTTTTTTGAAATAGACGTGCTAGGTTGTCAGACAGCATTAGTCAGTTTTTGTCACTTTGGTGACACTTTCAGTGAAATTTGCACATCAGTTTCTGCTTTGTGCTCCTTTAACCCTCTAACTAATATAAAAGTGCTGGTAAATTATAGCTGAGGTGCTATGGACAGCTGATGGCTGCCAGGGTAAAAATGCCAGTTTTTTAACTGGTGTAGCCCCTGAGAAATTGACTATGTTCCAATGCATAGTCTCACACAGTATGATATATGTGTGTCTATGTATTAACGTGTGTGTGTGTGTGTGTGTGTGTGTGTGTGTGTGTGACCTGATCTAGAGAAGAAGGCAAAGGCAGCAGGACTCTTGCTGTGAAGGGCTGAGCCTCTCTCCACAGGACTGGGCTCCCACATTGAGTCTTTATTCTGTATTAATTAAGGTAAGTGTCCTGTTGCAAATTCCTACACAATACCTCTGCCTGTGTTCCCGGGCATGCAAGAGTGTTTCTGTTCTGATTTCAGTCGTCTTAATGTATCGATCCCTTTTCCCGCTGTTAATGAGTAACACAACCTCATTGATCCCAAAATTCCACGTTCACTTTCCTTAAGCAGAAAGTAACTTCGGGAGGTGACATAAAATGATTTTGATACCATCTCAAGCCATGGGCTTTTGGGGAATACTTCTGGTTTTGGTCTTCCTGGAGAACAGTTGGGGACAGGAACAGATGTAAGTCAAGGAAAGCATCTTCATTTCCTAGTGCGTGTCAGTAGTGGTGTGACCAGTAGTCATCAGATGGTGGGACTCTGACCCACCAGGTGTGTGTGCTCATCTGAACGAGAGAGCGGTGGGAGCGCTTGATCAATGGGTGCTAACACACAACAGCTCTTGTGTGATCACTCGCATCGCTATTCAACAAAAACTTAACCATCAAACAATATATATGCAAATGGGTGACTCTATGTACATAATACACTTTTTATGCTTTTTGTTTTGCTCTTTTGTATTTGGTGCTTAGTTTCTTGGTGTGTGTGTTTTTTTTAAAGATTTGTTTATTTATCATGCATACCCTGTTCTGCTTGGATGCCAGAAGAAGGTACCAGATCTCATTACAGATGGTTGTGAGCCACCATGTGGTTGCTGGGAATTGAACTCAGGTCCTCTGTAAGAGCAGACAGTACTCTTAACCTCTGAGCCATCTCTCCAGCCCATCTTTGTGGGTTTTTTAAAAGTGATTTTGCTACAGTAAAGCCATAGTTATTTGGGGATTAGCTCCTTTTTAAATTTAATTTATTTTAATTTTTTAAAATATTCATACAATATATTTTGATAATATTTTTTCACCTCCCCCAATTCCTTCTAGATCTTCCCCTACCCAACTTTATGTCCTTTTTCTTGCATAAAAAGACAAACAAACAAAAAAGCAGTAGTGTCGGAACTAGGGTCAGAAGCTGGGCTCCCATGATTCGGGTGGAGAAATACTCTGAATTCTTTGTACAATGCTGTGTGGGCCCTTCTGAAAAGTGACTAAGTGTATCATGAACAGCATGGGAACGACCGCTTACTGGAGAAGCTGTTGAGCATGCACTCCGCGGCAGGTGGTGAGGTGTGACAGGTGGACGAGCTTTCGTCGTAGCGGGAGAATGGGGTACTACACAAATGATCAAATAGAGTTGCATCAGTGAGGATGTGGGGGCGGGGGATAAAGGTGTACAAAAAGACATAGAAGTCAAAGGTCAGAAGTGAAGGGTCAAGCCTTGCACACACCTGGGGAAAGCATTCCAGAGTAACGTTCCTGCCTCTCTGCACGCTGGGGGCCTGATCCTCGGCTGCTTGTTAAAGAATCTAAAAAGATGGAATTGCTCAAATGGGTGCACTATGTTGCAGACACATCAGCGAAGACCAAAATGTGTATGAAGGATGACCACGGCTAGATTTAAGGGCTTTGACACTGAGTGTGCCATGGCTCGCCTCCATCACACCGACTACGGGAAGAACACCTGAACACTGAAACTGAGGCAGTCTGTGATTCCTAAGATTTTTTCTCTTTTCAAAAATCTTAGTAAGTCTGGTTTAGAACAGTTGTTGAAAGTTTTAATTCTGGAAACAGACTGCTCACCTTAAGTTTTTAATTCTATAACTGGCTATGTTTATGGCATAGGACAAATGAATAACAGTTTGGTAGTCATACAACGAGAGCAATAGTGACACCCTCTGTACCAAATGTTGTAGCAATACAGTGACTGAAATATGTATACCATGCTGATAGTTAGTGATGTATATATATCACATCATACTGAGGAGAATGGCACAGTGAGTGACGTATATCACATGCTGAAAATGACAGTGAGTGATATATATTTAATATGCTGAGTGACACAGTGAGTGACTCTCTATATATACATATATACATATATGTATATATATATAACATAGTGAGAATGATAGTGAGTGACATGCATCATGTTGAGACTGGGTCTTGCTCATAGGAACGTTTCAGTAAATTGATCCTATTACCCGTTCTCATTTTCTGTGTCTCTGCTAAGCATATATAGCAGATGAGTAGGTTTACAGACTCTTCAATTGATCTGTACCTGTCTCCAAATTACTTGTGTAGAACTGCCAGATTTGGTAAAGGTCTTAATTACTGACTAACTTTATTGTTACAAAAGACTTGCCGATTGGTGAAACTCATAGCTTAAGTTGTAACTTAAAATATGACAATATAACTTAAAATATTATAATGTTGGTAGGTACCTGCAATAATTCTTAGGTTGGGTATTGTGTGTGCACCCTCTCTGTTGGCAGCGTCGCACACCTTTAACCCCAGCAGCTTGGAAGGCAGAGGCAGGCAGATCTCTGTGAGTTCCATGCTAGCCTGGGTGTGGAATGATTAATCCTCTTGTATACTGTAAAGATTTGTCACTCGAATTGGTTTAATAAAATGCTGATTGGCCAGTAGCCAGGCAGGAAGTATAGGTGGGGTGACCAAACTAAGAACGCTGGGAAGAGGAAGAGTGGAGTCAGGAGTCGCTAGCCAGAGGCAGAGGAAGCGAGATGAGAATGCCTTACTGAGAAATGGAATCAAGCCACGTGCTAAACATAGCTAAGAATTATGGGTTAATTTAAGTGTAAGAGCTAGTTGGTAATAAAGCTAGCTACCAGCTAAGCATTTATAATTCATATAAGCCTCTGCGTGGTAACTTGGGAAGTGGCTGCTGAGTACTGGAGTTGCTAGTGGGGCAGTAAGTTTCATCTACACAGTCTGGTCTACCGAGTGAGTTCCAGGACAGCCAGAGCTGTTACCCAGAGAAACCCTGTCTCGAAAAACAAAACACGAGAGAAGAGAGAGAGAGAGAGAGAGAGAGAGAGAGAGAGAGCCAGGGTCTGAGCCCTTTGGGATTAATGCATAATTCTCTTCTTTATGGTAGATATCTAGTTCTATTCAAATTAGATGCTCTTGTGACGTATATTTGTTTTTATTTTTGTAAGTTTCCACTTAATGAGACAATGAAGAAAATCACGAGTTTTTTTTTTAATTTTATTTTCCAGTTTAAATTTAGATAAGAAACAAGTCAGTTCCAGGTCCCTCTCCCATTCCCTCCCTTCCTCCCGTGCCCTCCCCCCCCCCGTTATCCCCTCATTTCTCCAGGGAGGGTGAGGCCCTCCATGGGGGTGTGCATAGTCTGTCATTTCATATAGGGCAGGGCCTAAACCCTTCCCCAAGAGTTCTGGGTGAGAGTGCACCTCACATTGTTCTATGGGAGTCCAAAGTCCATGTGTATACTTGGGATGGGTACTGATCTGCTGCCCAAGGCTCAGTAGATTCCCTAGGCCTCTTCACTGACACCCAGATTCAGGGGGTCTTGATCGGTCCCATGCTGGCTTCCCAGGCTAATGCCTGGGATTCAAGAGTTAACCTTTGTCTGGTCAGCTGTTTCTGGGGGTTAAACCAGCCCAGTCTTAATCCCTTTGATCATCAGTCCTCCCTCTCTGTTACTGGTTTTCTTGAGTTCAGCTCAGTACTTAACCAAGGGAGTCTGCCTCTTCTTCGATCAGCCACTAAATAAAGTTTCTGTTTCCCAGACTCTCTGGCCATAGGATTGTAGGCTGGCACTCCCCAGATCTATGTCTAAAATCCATATATGAGAGAGTACATGCCATGTTTCTCTTTTTGTGACTGGGTTACCTCACTCAGGATGGTTTCTTCTAGTGTCATCCATTTGCCTGCGAATCTCATGATTCCATTATTTTTTTCTGCTGAATAGTACTCCATTGTGTAGATGTACCACATTTTCTCTATCCACTCTTCAGGTGAGGGACATCTAGGTTGCTTCCACGTTCTGGCAATTACAAATAAAGCTGCTATGAACATAGTGGAACAGACATCTTTGTTGTATGAATGGGCATCTTTTGGATATATGCCTAAGAGTGGAGTTGCTGGGTCTTGTGGTAGGTTTATTCCCATTTTTCTGAGGAATCTCCACACTGATTTCCAAAGTGGCTGAACCAGTTGGCACTCCCACCAGCAATGGAGGAGTGTCCCCCTTTCACCACATCCTCTCCAGCATAAATTGTCATTGGTGTTTTTGATTTTAGCCATTCTGACAGGGGTGAGATGGTATCTGAGAGTTGTTTTGATTTGCATTTCCCGGATGGCTAAGGATGTTGAGCACTTTCTCAAGTGCCTCTCAGCCATTTTAGACTCCTCTATTGAAAACTCTCTATTTAGTTCTGCAGCCCACTTTTTAATAGGGTCCTTTGGTGTTTTGGAGACTTGCTTCTTGAGTTCTTTGTAAATTTTGGAGATCAACCCTCTGTCAGATGTGGGATTAGTGAATATTTTTTCCCATTCTGTGGGCTGCCTTTTTGTCTTGCTGACTGTGTCCTTTGCCTTACAGAAGCTTCTCAGTTTCAGTAGGTCCCATTTATTAATTGTTGATCTTACTGCCTGTGCTACTGGTGTTATGTTCAGGAAGCTGTCTCCTGTACCAATTCGTTCAAGGGTACCACCCACTTTCTCTTCTAAGAGGTTCAGTGTGGCTGGATTTATGTTGAGGTCTTTGATCCATTTGGACTTAAGTTTTGTGCATGGCGATAGACATGGATCGATCTGCATTCTTCTACATGCCAGTCTCCAATTATGCCAGCACCATTTGTTGAAGATGCTTTCTTTATTCCATTGTATATTTTTAGCTTCTTTGTCAAAGATCAGATGTTCGTACGTGTGTGGGTTAATACCCGGGAAAATCACGAGTTTTAAAATTTGTGTTTCAAAACCAGATGTTGCTGGGTGTGGTGTCACCTGTGTTTAATCCAAGCACTCAGGAGGCAGAGGCAGGAGGATCTCTGAATTGGAGGCAAGTCAGGTCTACTATGAAGAGAAGCCCTGTCTGAAAAAAATCAAAAACAGACAAAAACAAAAAAGGATAAACAAACAAGTGTTCCAAAGCTTGCCTACAATTCTAGTTTTGTATAAATTCCATCTAAAAACTGAAGAGTCTACAATTGTAGACTTGTAACCTTGACCCCAGTTATAAACAGAAGCTTGAGCACTCTGAGTACAAAGTCCTGCCTTGTTCACTTATAAACCATGTGGCCTTGATCAAATTACTTTTGCTAACATGAACATATGAATAATAGTAGTAGCCGGGGCATCCCTGACTTTCTGTGGGGAGTGAATGAGCTCTGTAAACTCCTCTCAGAGTCCAGACAAGCCAGCCTCACACAGCGGCCTTCGGTGTGTAGACATTTCTCTGGCTTGTTTGTATGGCAGATTTATCTCTACCCACTGATGTTAATGCATTTCTGAGATCACTTCTTCCACCTACTTCAGTGAGGGTCATTACTTCTTGAGTAGGCACTTGCTGATGATTTATAGACATGTTCTTATTTAGCACACCACCGCAAAAGGTGACAAAAGCTATATCTCACTCGGCCATCAGAAGACAAAGATGGCATTCAGCTACTAGTGCCTATTTGATACTTTAAGTCATTGTGTGTGGGGGGAGGGACCAACTTACATACTCCAGCAAACCTTGTTTTTTTGTGTTTTTATTCTTACACCAGCACATGTAATGTTGATGCCTTTATGGCCTTATCCAGTGCTCTGCAGGTGGAGGAGGCCAGAGACCCACTCTTGTTACCTTTTTAACTGTGAACCAAATCCCACACTCTGTTTTTCAGGACTCAATTTCAAGTTATTTCCTCTCAGAAATTATGCTGAGTTTGTCACAGATCACACAAGCAAATTATAGTTTCTAAACATAACGATTAAGAAGAAAATACATCTACAGTGAGATGAGCATGAACCAGAAGGAGTGTATCACCAAAGCTACTGCATCTTGTCGTGTTTCCACAGATTCCTCATTTCAGCACCAGTGGTCTTCCGCATCGGAGTGCCGGCAAATGTCACAGTCCAAGCCCACGGCCACACTGAGGCCTTTGATGCAACCATCTCTGTAAAAAGTTATCCTGATGAAAACGTCAGTTACTCTTCGGGCTCTGTTAATTTGTCACCAGAAAATAAATTCCAAAACTCTGCCATCTTAACAGTATGTATTTGTCTTTCCTCTTAAAATATATACACACAATATTTTTGTTAAAATATGTATAATTTTGGATACTGTTAGCACAGATCTAGTCACTTGTATTGAAAGACCCCAGTAGGGATACTTTCACGGAAGGGAGACCCGAACCCAAGGAACAACGAGACCACGAGCTTGGATGCAACAGCAAGAGGCTTTATTGATAATACACGGGTACCCGGGGCGTCTCAGTCTCGGGAACTGAGAGCCCCGAGCTGGGGACTCAGGGGTTCTTTTATAGCAAAAAGCGCAGTACAGAAGCGAGAAGCCTAGTAACAGGACCCTGATTGGGCAATTGAGGTTTTTCTTGGAATTCAAGTCTTGGCCCTATCTGAGGAACAATAGGTCTCTATGCTTGCCCAATCTTGCTGAGCTGGCCATCTGGTCGCTCGCAGACATCTCTGTGTCCTTGGGCTGAGCACCCAGCCTGTGTCCTTGTGCTGAGCTCCCTTCTGATAGGCAATGACTATGCAGCTGGGGGGGGAACGGAATTTTCCATAAGCCTCAGCTGCCTGTTAGACTGGGCTAGGGTCTTTCAGTATCAGTCTACCGCTGTATAATTATTAGATGATTATCACTAACTGGTAACAAGCTGAGTTTAACAAAGTTACTTTTTTAAAGGATTCATTTTTATTTATGTGGATGTGCCTGTGTGAGTCTGTGTGTATGTATGTTTATGTGTTCAAGAAAGTCAGGGGTCTTTTACCCAATTTCTAGGGATAATTCTACTATAAGTTGACCATGCGTTTAACATCTGCTTCACAAAAGGTGAGTGCATGCCACATGTGACTGTGGTGAGAGCTTCCTGAAGGCAGAACCAGCCAGTCTAGGGTGGGCAAGTCCTGTGGCATTTGGAACCCAGGTGCTTCTGGAGTTTGGGGCCTGTGGAGTTTGCAGCAGAGAGGCTGCAACAACAACAAAAATCCCAAACTCTTGCTTTGAGGCTTAGGGAAAAAGAGAACCTAGCCAGCGGGGTGGGAACTCCTGAGGGAGCCTGTGTGCAGTTCTGGTCTGTACTGGTGGAGGCAGAGGCACAGGCAAGCAGTTTTTGTTTTTGTTTTTGTTTTGTGAATTCATGCCTTAATGTTGGGCACCAACGTACCTTAATGTTGGACACCAAAATGTATCACGAGTTTTAACAGGTCTTAATAATAAAGGCCCAGAGTCAGAAATAGGGGTAAATGCTGAAAGATCGTGGAGGTAAAGGAATAAACACAGTCACACCTTCCCTCCTCAACTTCCCAGCGGAGGAGACACTGAGGTCCTGTCTCCTCCACCCAAGTTCCTCTCTCCACCCAGCCATCTCACTTCCTGTCTGTCTGTGCAGACCTCCTTCTGTGGTTAGCTAGTGATTAGCTCTGCCCTCTGACCTGCAGGCAAGCTTCATTTGTTAGAGTACAAGCCAGATATCTCACAACCCGGGTCCTCTGCAGGAGCAGCAAGTCCCCCTAACCACTGAGCTGTCTTTCCAGTCCCTGAGATGAACAATATTCTAAACCGACAACTGTGTCGGCTTTTTGAGCCATGCATGTAAATGTTAAGACTTCTACTGGAAAATAAGAATGTATCAATGTGGAAACATTTGGAAGTGAGTTAGAAATAATTTTGCCTATGAAATTATCACTAGAAACAGTAAGGAAACAAAACCATGCATGCTTTTGACGTTTGTCTGTGAGAATTATCATTAAAAGCAGTAAAGAAAGGTAAGTGGAGCCGGGCGGTGGTGGCGCACGCCTTTAATCCCAGCACTCGGGAGGCAGAGGCAGGCAGATCTCTGTGAGTTCGAGGCCAGGCTGGACCGACAGCCTCGAAAACAATACAGAGAAACCCTGTCTCGAAAAACCAAAAAAAAAAAGAGAATTATCATTAAAAGCAGTAAAGAAAGGTAAGTGGTAAGTGCATGGGGGGCGGGGCCAAATGCACGTGGGGGGGGGCGGGGCCAGGTCTCATGCTAGGCCAGCACTCTACCACTGACCTACAGCTACAGGCCCCATAAATGACTGGTTACTACAGTGAGCAGCGCTCACTGATACTCAGCGAGAGAAACAGCAGGCTTAAGCAAATGCCCTTTTCTTTTGTGAAGATATTTCCAGATGGGGGGACCCATAGTTCAGCAGTAGAGCGTTTGCTTGGCATGGTGTGAGGCCCTGGGTTCAAGCCCCAGCACTGCAAAGACTCATTTTAGTGCAGATTGTTAACAAAAGTATTTGCATCCCATCTTACTAAAACTCTGATAAAAGAAAACCAGAAAAATGAGAGAACCTCAGCTTTAGAAGAGGCTCTGTGACTCCATAGAAATGGAAATATATGAGGAAAAGGAAAAAGGAAAATGTTACAAGGGGCCTAATGTTGGAGTTCTATGGGCTTTCTAACATTTTCAGGTTTTTATTTTTAATATTAAGGTCTTCAAATTAGAAAAGTTCTTTATGTGTGGGTCTGCATATGTGCCTCATGTGTACTATGTACATGCGGGCCCTCAGAGGCAGGCCAGTCACATCCTTGGACACTGTAGTGACAGGTGGTTGTGAGCTGCATGATGTGGGGCTGGAAACCAAGTCCAGGTCCTACTCAGGTTCTCAAACACTGAGCCATCTCCACAGTCCCAGTGTTAGTTTTTAAGTATCTAAAAACCATAGGTGTAAGATTTCTGCTTAATTCAAGTATATAGATAGATGATAGATCAACCAATCTACAGATAGATGATAGATATTTGAAATATTTATACATATTTCACATTGCAAATGATTTTTATTGCATTGTAAACAACAAAATGTTAAGTATATGAATCTTCTGTATCCATTATTCTTTAATGGTAATATATATATTACTCGTATTGGGAAACATTGCTGGGAATCAATTCTAACCAAACATAAGAATTATTTCATCAATGCTTTTGAGAATAAATGTTCTAATCTCTGTAAAAATGGTTTCCCAAGTATTGGTTTATGAAAATTTAAAGTTGATTTCCCCAAACTCTTACTTTCTGTGGCCACTCTATTATGAGGTATGGTAGCCACTAGCCACATTTGTTTTTTAAATCATTCAATTAAACGTAACTGGTGTAATACTTGAGGTACTCACTGGTACTAGCCATGTGTTTGGACAGCACAGTTACAGGACATGTCCTTCACCACAGGAATCCCACTGAGTTATGCTTATTGGTCATCTCAGGAGCCTGAGGATCATGGAGGAATCATAAACATTTATACACCTGTACTTAATTTTATGTTACCACTACAAAGTATATTTTTGACAATTAAACGTGTTGTCTCAGTCTTGTCCTTGAGTCCACTTTTTCAATTGAATTATCCACAATTAATGAATACTGTTTTTGTTTTCAATAATCCTGACTGCAGTTTCCCCTCTCTCCACTCCTCCTGTTTCTCCACCACCACAGCCGCCTTCCATTTCCCCCAGATCCACTCCTGCTCCATTTCTCTTCAGGAAAGGGCAGGCCTCCCAGGATATCCACTGGGCATGGCATAGCGAGATATGATAACTCTAGGCATGAACCCCATTTTAAGGTTGTGCAAGGCAAACCAGTAGGAGGAAAAGGGTCCCAAGAGCCTGTGAAAGAGTCAGAGACACCCCCACTCCCACAGCCGTACCACAAAATATCAAGCTAGAAGCCATGGTAGAAGCTATAGTATTGTTTTAAATAGAGATAGAACACAAAGACATCTATAGTTCATCTCAGCACAGAAAATCGATAGTTTGTTTTTTACTGCTTCCAAACTTTTGTAATGATCTCAATGCAGTTGATTTTAGTGATTAACTTTTTAGTGTTTCTGAACCCTAGATTTTCATGGAAATACGCTTTCCTTTGATGATCTGTGTTAATATATGCAATCCCCATATCACTGAATATAAAGGTGATGATGGTAATGACATAGGCAAACTTGAATGTGTGTCTATGATGTGGGCACAGAGGCTGTGGTGTGATGAGAAGTGTCCATGCCATTGACAGGACACTGCACAGAGAATAGAGAAACCAATCCACCCAGAAGCTGATAAGGTGAATGTTTCTTACAAATTTCTATTACAGTTAACAGTCATATAACAGTTCTGTTAAATATATCTGAAATGGCACCAAAAAGGTTTCTGACTGCTTAGTGCTAAAATGTTATTGTGATACAAGACTATGAAGGGAATTTGACAAACTAAGTTTTTTTTCCTGTAGTGGTTTCAGTAAGTTTGCTTGGTTGATTATGTTTCAGATTTTCACCTTGTAGTCGTAGACAGACTTGAAAACAAGATCTTCCTGCCTCAGCTTCTCAAGTGCTGTACTGTAGTACTATTTATTATTATTACTATTATTATTATTAATTGTTATTTTTCAAGACAAGGCTGGGAAAAGGAACAACCTAGAGAGGGTGAGATGTTGCCACCTGCTTAGACAGAGAGTCATCACCAAAACCATTGAGGACACCAACAAGATGGTTTGGCATACCAAATGCTAATCTTAGCCTATAAGGATATACTAATAGCTTTGGCTGTCCTAAAATTAGCTTTGTAGATCTTGAACTGACAGAGTCCGGCCTTCCTCTGCCTCCCAAATGCTTGGATTCAGGGTGTGAACCACTAAAACAGGCTCATTATTATCTTTTAAAATCCATGTGTATGGGTATTTTTCCCTGCATGTAGGTTTGGGTACCATTGTGTTCAATAACCACAGAGGACAGAAGAGGGCCTAGGATCCCTGGAACTGGAGTCAGAGGTGGTTTCAGCTGCCATGTGGGTGATGGGAACTCAACCTTTGTCTACTGGGAGATCTACCAGTGCTCTTAACTACTGAGCCATCTCTCCAGCCCAGTGCACCTCTTTGAAAATGATGAAATGCACAAACTCAGTTTTAGTCTTATGAGATTAGAGTGGTTGTTTTTTTCTTTCAGTATCAGCATGCTTTAGGACTCTACATTCACACTTTCTAATCATGGTGTTTGTTTGTTGTTTTACAGGTTCAGGCCAAACAGTTGGCTGAAGGACCAAGCTCATATTCATATGTGTATTTGGAAGTTGTGTCGAAGCATTTTTCAAAATCGGAAAAAATGCCAGTCCTCCATGACAATGGCTCTCTCTTCATCCATACTGACAAGCCTGTCTACATGCCACAGCAGCCCGGTAGAGTATCTGATGCCCCTTTCAGGGGAGAATGACATAAACATGTGGAACTTGTAGCATTTGAAATTGAGTGGAGACAGGTTTCTACTTTACTTAAGAGAAGCTCAAATCCTAACGACATTTATAGGCTCAAATAGCATTTTCATTTTTAATTTATAAAGGAATTGCTAAATAAATAACATAACCAATGATTGCTTTATCTGCCCTGCTAGAGAATTTATTCATCAAAAATACAGAACACATAATTGAAAATGCAATTTTGGCACTGAGAAATGATTTATCTTAAACCTTGTTTATAAAACATTGTTGGATTCAGTAGCTTGTCCCAAAGTTGTAAAAGAAATCCAAATGAGGAGAATTAGAAATCTGGTAGACACTACCGTAGCTCACAGAAATGCCCAGACGCTGATGGCCAAGGTTAGCCACATAAGAACGTGTCTGTTAAGCAGCGTTTAACATCTGCAGTTTTACTGTGGAGGGGATGTCAGTAAAGACACTGTGATCAAGGGAAGTCTATGTTTCCCCCAAAGAAACGACAATCAGACACAGAAATCAGGCCGGCATTGCTTGTGAAACCTCTGTCTTCTCACCTGCCACTTGCCATCTCCTGACAATTAGAGACATCTGTCCAAAACGGGCATGTGTTGGGAGGAGGCTGAGAAGTTTCATTGATGGTTTTCATCATATTCAGGGGAAGGACTCATAGAAGAAGCAGAATTGGCATGCTTTGTTCTGTTTTAACCTTGTGTATAGTAGAGAACTTCTACTTTTGGCCAACACTGGTGATGTCCACAGTGAGGTGTAACAGGGCGGTGTGGTCATCATCCCATTTGGCAGGAGCACCTGTTACACTGTCTTGGAAAGAAAGACATGGGCAGGGTGAGGACATTGCCACCAGCTGACACAGAGAGTCATTGCTGCAAATGCTGATCTGACTCCAACAAGACAACTTGGTACAGGAGATGGTAATCTCTGTTTGTGAAGTTATTTTAAAGTCCTTTATCCTACTGGTGTATTTAATGTGAAGATACTTGAAGGATTATAGCTTAAGCATCTTTGACTAAAAGCTCAAGTCTCCCAGACTCTCTAGGATGAAGGACCTTAGAATGTTGTCCAGAGTCTTTCAGTTCTTTGTAGCCCGTGTCCCGCCCTCTCCCCAGCTCCCTTCCCTACTGTACCCCACAGCCGACCGTGGACTCCAGTCATCCTGACCTTAGTTCAGGTCTCTTCCCACCACTCTCATCCATATGGAGGTGGGCACCACGTGCTGTTTCCTCTGCACAGTGCATTTCTCTCCTTTCCTTTGCCTCAGGACCTCCTGCTGGTCCCCCTGTACTCAGGGATCCCTACAGACCCTGTAGTCACGGCTTGCACTGCCACCCTCTCACATTTCCAGTCTTTCTGTCTCCTCTCCTTTTGTCAGGGCCAGGCATAGAACTCCAGGGTCTCCTGCATCCCAGGCAAGGGCTGCATCACTGAGATAGGACCTCAGACCTCTCTTGTCCTCTCCAAACCTAGGGAGTGTCCTTACAGCACCCATGCTCCTGGGAACTTACTTAAGTGTATTCTTTCTCTCCTACAGAACATTGCAAGGCATCTGTGTGTGAATATTTCACCACTATTATTTCGATGTTTAGCACAGTGAAGACATTTCAATTAAGTCTTGGCTTCAATATACAGATTTTATTGATCTTGCCCCTGATATACTAAGATTCATAGTCTATGTTAACATAAATAAGGTTTAAAACTCTGCAAAAAGTCACTGAAATCATAATCATAGCTTAAACATTTGTTGCTTCTTTTGTGCTGAGTCATGTGGAGACTGTCCTCTTTGTATCTGTGAGTCTTATTGGGAGGCCACACTAATTTTCCAGAATTACAAATGATGTACAAAAGTCAAGCTATCTCAGAGCAGGGAAGTGGAGGCAGTCAGACAAGACCACAGTTTGGAAATTCAGAATCGTAGCTTTGTCCACAGGCTGCTAACTTTTCCTTCTTGCCCCCTGGACAGGAAGGCAGGTTGTCCATTGAAGGGGGACTCTGAGGTAGAGACAGCCAGGAAGGAAGGAAAGGGCAGAGTGTGGGTGATTTACTCTCATGCTGGTCTTACCTGGTTGCCTTGGTAAGGCAGTTTTAATGGGGGGTCTTTGTAGGGCTTACACAGTCCTAGCGAGAGTCGAAGGCTTATAGACTGTTTCTATTTTGGTGTGTGGGTTAAGACTTGGCTATGAAATGAACTGAAAACTCTGGAGGAATGAAAATGTGTCACTGTGCCCCTGCTGAGTTAAAAGCTCTAATGATACTGTGCAGTGTAGGCAAACACATTTCTGAGATTTTGTACGCGCTTCTGCTCCATGGCATCTTTCAATCTGTTCCATTAGGTCCCCTGATCTTATGTGTGTGGTTTGTTTTAGCTGTACAGCTCAGTGATGGGCAGCCCATGGTCATGTAGTCTCTGTATTTTGAATTGTGAATCTTTGTAGTTGAGATACCAGCATAGATGGGGCAGATTTTGGAGACCTCACCTAGATGAAGAGTGATAGGCAGTCAGCGGCTGCGGAGAGGGTGAGTTGGGTTTATCCAGGAATGAATTCCCACAGCTGATGAAATCCTGAGTAGTCAGCCCTAAACACATGAGCATAAGAGTAATATTAGATGAGTGTGTGTGTGTGTGTAAGTATAACAATATCAGGGATGCAATTATAGTATTCCTGATTGTAATTCTAAAAAATAAAACCTTTTAAGTTAAAAAATACTGAGCACAATAAGCAAAGACAAGGAAGATGTTTTAAGGTATCAAATTTAAACTTGTACAGATGAAAAACTACATGGTAAGAGATGAAAATGCATCCAATATTCACCTAAATTTTCATCTGTGAACCTTTCTTTAGAGACAGGATTTATGTGCCTCTGGTTGTCTTTGAACCTGCTTTGTAGACTAGGCTGGCCTCCAACTCACAGAGATCTTTCGTCGTGTGCCTCCCGAGTGTTGGGATTAAAAGTGTGTGCCACCTCACCACCTGGATCTGTGTGCCTATTTTAAAATGAATAAAAATGGATAAGAAAATGAAAATAAATCAGCTTTGATACACATACAAAATGTAAAAATAGAGGACCTTGTAGGGTTTGGTTTTACAAGTCTATAATCCCAGCACCTGGGAGGCTGATGAGCAAGGTCTGTGACTCACAGGCTAACTTGTACTTCTTAGAAAGAAAATAGAGTGATACGCCTTTGTGAAAGAGTGTTTGCCTGGAATGTTGAAATACCAGCCGTTCTGGGATGCAGCTACTATTCTCTTAATGAGGAGAGAGCACCCACAGGACCTGGGGCAGCAAATGTAACAAAAATCACATGATCACAGTGCCTTATCTTCACAAACACCATCTTGCCATTTAACAATTCAGTCCTAATGTAAAGCAGCACTGTATGTTTTCATATAGCTTATGGTAGAACTCACCCTTTTGATATTATGAAATTCCCAATAATGGTTACCCAATGACAAATATAATTAATTTTATACTATATGCATGTTCCCAGCAAGTTGTATGTAAGCATTTTCATAAAGTGAACTGTCTTGCTCACTAGTAGTAAGTCTTGAGGAATTGCTTTAAAGTGAAGGAATCTTTATTAATACAAATGTTTACCAACAACTTTCTTTTAAATACATATTTTCCTATAAGGGTACTTACAGTTTTTGATAAGATTTATCTCATTGAAGAGGTTTTTAAACTATTTTATTTTATTAATCTTTGAGAATGTCTCCCAATATATTTTATATGATTTTCACCCTGAAGTAGTTTGTCTCAAAAATTAGAATCGCCCTTGTTTACCAAAGTTTTTGACGATATCACCTTTTCTTGCAGTAAAGGTTGGCATCTATTCCCTGCATGATGAATTAGACGCAGTTACAAAGGAAGCTGTCTTAACTTTCATAGTAAGTATTTCCTCAGTCCCAGGGTACTCCCCTCACAGCTGTATGGACTGAGCAGGGCTGCCCCCTTTCTCAGAATGTCTTGTCACGAGAACAAACTCTTCATAAGTGCTTGCTTGCCCATCTGCTTTCCCATTCAGAGTTGATACGAAGCTGCTCCCCTCTCCATACAGAGTCATATCCTTATAACTCCATACTCCAGCACTGTGGGACAAAACACATCTCTGGTCTTTAGACAATCACCCGGTCCCAGTAATTCTTTTATACAACAGAAAACAAGCTAAGACAGGTGGGTTTTCTTCCTTCCATAAAGGACCCTGAAGGATCAGAAGTTGGCACACTACAAGGAAACAATCATACTGGAATTGTCTCTTTTCCCGACTTCAAGATTCCTTCTAACCCGAAGTATGTAATAGAAACTGTTTTCTGAAAAACACACCCGGGACTTTGGTTGTGAGGTAGAGAAGTGGTAAGTGGAGCTACCCCTGCTGACCCAGGAGCACACAGGTGGCCATGTGAAGCCTTCCAAAGGATGCAGAAGGCACACCCACTTCTCAGCAGAGCAGAGTGGATCCCAGATACCAGACACTTCCCATCACATCAGGAGGCTCAGATCTCCAGGACACTGAAGAAAGAGGCTCACTTAAATCTAGGCATTAGCTATGGCAGATGGAAAAGTCTGTTTCAATAAATGAATACACACACATGCATACACACATATATACACACAGCCAGACACAGCCAACCAAATACACACAGCCAACCAAACACACACACACACACACACAAATACACACATACAAAACAAAAACACAAACACAAAACCACATATACACACAACCAAACACAGACACATACACACACAGTGAGTGAAAGAGAGAAAGTTACGAAAATTTCCTATTCATTCTGTTTAGAGAGAGCAATAAGTTTAGAAGAGAAAAAAATCCTTAAGTAGTCTTTCTGCTTTTTAAAATCTAACAGAGTGTCCATCTATGGGGAGTGTTGGTTTGGACTATATCCTATTGGAAGAACACTTCAGGTGGAGAGAGTTGGGTATCATGAAAACGTGTGTGTGTGGGTGTGTATGTGTGTGTGTGTGTATGTGTGTGAGTGTGTGCACGTTTATGCAGATGTGTAGGAAATTTTATTCTACTTGGCCTCATTTGCCAAGATTTAAGACCAGGTGCATTCTGAAGTTGATGAAATACATATTCAATGTGTGTAAATCACAATAAGAGAGCAAGCTGCCAAACAGAAATGAAACGCTCACAACCCCTGTGTCAAGGGACATAAAGCAGGATGCCTAAGGCAAGGCAGCCACCACACAGATTTTCAGTAGAACCACTTCCCAGCCATTGTTCCTCTGTCCTCTCTGGGGAGTTTGTATTTAGTTTGTTTTGGAAACATTGTTCCTGAAAACATTGGGAGGTTGTGATATTCTGGAAGATTTAAATTATACAATTTTTTAGAGTGCCTTAGGCTTTCTGGTGCAGAACTGAGTTTGTTATGTTATTACGATTCTTATTTCCCAGACTTCTCGTGTCAATGTCCCATGGCGCATTATAGGAATCCATCTCCAGCCTTAGCAGCTTGGTGTCTGTTGTCCTCTTTGCACAGAACATTCCTCTATGGTCCTCTTGCTTGGACATGGGAAGATGATTCTCTTCACAATGCCATCCCTGGATACGATGGAATGTCTACTTTATTCTCTATCTCTACACACATGCCTCGTGTATTTTCTTTTTAGTCTGTGCCTTATTCATTATTTATTTATGTGTCCCGCCCGGTATTAGACTCTAAACCCCTTAAGGGCAAAGCCTTTGTCTACAGAGTTCATTTTAGCTCAGCAATTCAGCATCATAGGCACTTGGTAAAATACTTGGTGAACTGTTGATAGTAGTCATGGTAACCATGACATTCACCTCCATTGATCACATCCCTTATCTGCATGGTAGATATTTTTTCATTTCCCAAAGGAGATGTATGTAGTCAGTTGCCTAATCAAACCTGCTAGGAAAAATGTGTGAACATCTGAACTGGCATGGACTTGAGGCTCTAAAGTCTGTGGTTCTTCTGTCTTGCTCTTTTGTTGTTGTTGTTTGTTTGTTTGTTTTAATCCCAGTGTAGTACTCACTAATTTTGTTTTGCTTGTTTGCTTTTGGTTTTTCAAAACATGGTTTCTCTGTGTTGCCCTGCCTGCCCTTACTCTGTAGACAGTCTGGCCTTGAACTCAGAGATCCACCTGCCTCTGCCACCTGAGTGCTGGGATTAAAGGTAGGTGCCACCATTGTTCAGCCTGACTAACTATTTTTGAATGAAGGTTTTTGAACAGGTTATTTTACTCTTTAAACAAGCCATGCCTTCTTTCCAATACATGCTATCCACAGACTTTATTATCAATTTTTTACTATAAGATGACTTTAACTTATGAATTCTGGGGTTACGTAAAATGCTGAAGTCATTTCTCCAAACAAAATTACTATATTAAGATAAAAGATGTAGGGAAAGTATACAATATGAAAAACTAATTGTTAAACAATTTCTTTTCCTTTTGAGATGCTTAGTTGTCTGATTAGTGTTTAAAAATCTTTCCTCTGAACTTTTACTTAGGGTGTTTGCATGTGTGTGTGTATGTGCGTATGTATGCTCATGTACATATATTCTAACCTCTGAAAATAGAAATGACTGGATTTCCTCTTGATAATTTTGCACTCTTTGGTACTATCTCTGATTTCAAACATCTGGTGTCCACAGATACGGTAGATGGACAATTAAAGCTAAATACAGAGAGGATGATTCAATAAATGGAACCACACACTTTGACGTCAAAGAACACGGTAATCTTCCATATAGATTGGTTTATAAAAGGTTAGTTTTCCCTGGTAATTCTTTTCAGTAATGGAGCTGATGCAAACCCTTCCCAGGTGGGGATGAGGCTCCGGGCCAGGGTGATGGGAAGTCCTGGTTGGGTTAAGGCTGGGGAGTCAGTGCTTGTTAGAGGTTGTAGGAGGCCACAACGATGTAGAACAGAATGCTGTCAGGGAGCTGTTTTAAAAAGATTTTATGCCTTTCCCACACCCTTCTCTCTCTCACAGATAAAGCTTACAAAATAACTCTCATGCCAATACCTGATCTGCAGCACCAAGTGGGAATTCCAGGTACTGGAATGCTTCGGTGGCTGTTTAGGAGCCTGGAGTAATTTGCCTGTCAGTCCCAAGGAAGCTAGCCAGGCTCTGTAGGTCATGTTCATACTAGAAGGGGTGCAGTCTACTGGGGAGCCTGGCATAGGGAGGTTCTTTCTACCTTTATGATGTTAGGAAAAATAAACCATTAGTGTTGAGTCACACAGCTATGTGAACAAAAGATTATCCCTAAGTTGACCAGTGCATTATGGGTGACATCCAAGGGACAAGGTCTGCTTTTATGTACTATGACAACAATGTGACACTGAACACTCTTCCCTATCCATTCTCTTCTTCACAGATGTAGCCCAAGGTGTGAATCTCCAGCCAGAACATTACCTGAAACAGAAAATAGAGGAACAAGGTACTCCACAAGCTGTTAACCACTGTGATTGTAGCATTCACAGACCAGAGAACATAAGACTTGGTCTTTCCCTAATTAACATGCAGCAGGTGGGGGAATGATGCATGTGGGGTTGAGTACATCACTCAGAAATGTCCAGTCTGTAAACTCAGGATTTTATCGGCCACATCCTTAACCTGAGGAAAACAGTTCTTTATTATTTTCATGCCTAAACAATCCAAAATATTTGTTTTGCCCTAACATGTATCTGGTGAGGGAGTCCTTTGATGGCAGAGAAAATAGTCCTTGAGATCCATCCCTACCAGGTGTTGGGCTGTTGGTGATAAGGACTTGTCATTACATCCTTTCAGTTTCTACATACAAACATCCAATGCTAAAGAAGTGTTGTTATGACGGAGCTTTACTTAATACATATGAAACCTGTGAGCAACGAGCTGAACGTGTGATAATAGGTCCCCGCTGTGTCAGAGCCTTCATTACCTGCTGTACCCTGGCAAATGAGATCAGAGCTAATGAGACTTTTAAACAAAACCATGTGGCGAAGCATGACGGTAAGTATGGCATTTTCTATCAGAACCTTGCCAGATCTGTGTAACTTTGCATCAGTAAAGTTCTGTAAGAGGAGCAGTTTTCAGGTCCCAGTTACTGGTAGGAGTTGAAAGGCAGATAACTGTAATGCCCAGAGGAAAAGCCCTTGTGCTTTTGGGAGCTGGAATCCCCCTCTCATGCAGAACACAGCAGCGAACAGGAGCCCAGAGCCAACCTCAGCTCCTGGTGGGGACTCCAAGGAGAGTTCAAACCCTAGTCTCACACAACTACCTGAGATTAAGTGTGTCCCATCAGCACCCGGATGACAAAACCTGATGATTCTGTCACATTGCAGTCACCAAAAGTTGAAGTCTTACTTGGGTGGTAGCAGTACTAGATGTTGCAGGATAAAGGAATTCCTGAACGGTTAAAAAACTTCAAGGACTCTCATTTATATATTGTCTTGAAGAAAACAAACAGGCATAGGGAAGCCCTCTGCTTTCACTCTGAGTAATTTTCTTTAGTAATCATTTCTTTTGTTTGTGAGAATATGATAGAATCACATTATTTCCTCTGCGTCTTTGCTCTCTCCAAAATTGCTCGCACGTCCCTGCATGCTCTTTTTTCATTAATTGCTATTACATTAATATGTATACATATGTATATATGTGTTTATACACATGTATCTCTATAACCTGCTCAGTCTGTATATTTACATGTATGTCTTCAGGAATGACCACTTGGCTTTGCATAAGGAGTTGGCATGCTCTTCCCTGGGGAAGACTATTCCTCCCATCCCAGCATCCTTAGTTATCTGCAGTTCTCTGTGCAGGGTGGAGGCCTTGTGGTCTTTACTCCCTCCACTCTGGCTTCTCCGTTGTTGTTCTTGTTCAGCTCGCATTCGGGCAGTCATGTTGGAAGACTCCATGGTACAGCCTCTGAGTTTCTAGGAGACGAAGTCTCACAGCAAAACCCTGATCCTCTTCTGGCTGCCCAGAGTACCTATACTTACACACACACACACACACACACACACACACACACACACACACACACACACACACACACACAGAGAGAGAGAGAGAGAGAGAGAGAGAGAGAGATGAGCATACAAATGATTAAACTGAAATAGATCTTTACAGAATAAGGAAAGGGTTCATATTAGCATTTGGAGTTTGGGAAACATACATATTTTCCATATAGCAGTTTATTTTTGGCTTTTCATAAACCTACCACATAAAGTCTGATCCCAGTAACACAGGTAAGGAAATAGATTGAAAATTGGTGAAGCAGCAGTGTATCTAACCTATACCTCCCTGAACACAGTGCTGTATCTACCCTGTACCACTGTGAATGCAGGGGTCTTCTAACCAATACTAGCCTGAACCTGTTGTGTGTTCATTATATGGATTGAGCTGAGCACACATGAATTGTTCTAAGAATGGATTTGATAAACTTCCAGGTAATGGAGTTGTAATTGATATCCTTAAGACTCACGCTTGAGCCTGGCTTTGGTGGTCCACATCTTTAATCCCAGGACTGGGGAGCCAGAGGCAGGTGGATCTCTGTGACTTCAAGGCCAGCCTAGCCTACAGAGCGAGTGCTAGGATTCAGACTTAGCAGAGATACATATACATTTCAAGTAGGATTCTCAGGTTTGTTTAGGAGGACATTTGAAAGGCTGAAAAACAAGATTCCAAAGGGCTACAACAAATAAGCCTTTTTCCCAGGTGAGCAAGCATAATGTGTTGGGGTACCCCGAATTGAGGAGGGGTCCCCAAGCTGGATTTGTCACCCCAAGAATCAAGAGTCCACGCGCCAATTGATGCAACATGCAAGAGGCTTTAATTAGGCATCTGCAGATGGGCCTCTCGGTCAGCTTTTAGACCGATTGGCCACGAGGTTCAGTTACAATCACCTTTTAAAGACAAAAACCACAAGCTTTTGGGAGGGGTCCCTATCTCGTGACAGGGGAAAGGGGTACGAAACTCCCGACCCAGGGAAGTAGATGTCTTCCTGACCTACAATGTTGTAAATTCCTCAAACCTTGGTATAAGTAAATAGTGGTATCTCCTTGTTTCCCATTAATCTTGTTTGCCCATCTCTGACGCCCTGGTCAGTTCTTCACAGATGGCAGCCCATAATTGGCCTTTTGTGGATTTACAGCCCTTCTGCAATTAAGGTTGCTAAACCATACATTCCATTCTGTGGCGACTTACAGCCCTTCTGCAATTAAGGTCTCTAAACCATACATTCCATTCTGTGGTATGGCCGGTTCCTGGGATGGGGTCCTTTGTTCACTTCCCAAGTTCTCTAGTGGGGTGCCCTCCCTGTTTAAGCTTATATTTTATTTCTATAAATTTGGGGTCTTACAAATGTTAATGGTGCCAATGTCAATACAAGCACACCAGTTGAGACTATCAGATAAAATTGGAAACAATGACTATTCATTGGATGGTTTACCAGTTTACTCAGCTGACATTGAATACCACCTAAGGATCGAGCATTTTTATGGAATATTTGGAACAAGCTTTAGATTCCCGGTAACCCCTTCTTACCACCCATTAGGCTTCAAGAGCTCCAAGATAGTTCTGGGAAACAAGGAAATGGGCCAGGTTTCAGATGCTCTTAAATTAAAAGCTGTAAGCATCACTAGGAATATAGTATTAAGTAATATCATTTATTATTATTGGCTTTGCACTTTTCATCTGGAAATAGTTTTTCTATTTTATTTTATTGAGTTGTATGTACAGGTATGCATGCTTGTATGTATATGTATATGATGTGTTGGCGTAGGTGTGTGCAATACACATATAAAGGTGCAGCCATAATAGTGGACGAAGATCTAGGTGTCTTTCTGAAATATTCCCCACTTTGCATTTTTGAGACAAGGTTTGTCACTGAACCTGGAGCTCCCTGATTGTCTAGGCCACCTGGACAGTGACCTCCAAGGACCCTTGTGTCCCTGCCCCTCCAGTGCTGGGAATGCAGATGTGAACAGCTGTGCCCACATTTGCATAGGCATTAGAAATCCAAACACAGGACCCTATGCTTGTATAGCAAGCACTTTACCCACTGAGGGTCTCCCAGATACTATTTTCTCTACCTTGAGGAGGGCACTGAAAAGAAATTAGGGATTATTTAGGGTCATTAAACGCACGTTGATGTCCATAGACTTCTATTCTATGGCTAGTATGATTTTTTCAATTTTAATAACAAATTCATGAATATTTTACTTAGGAAATGCAAAGATTATCTCACTGTATTGAATGTGTAATGAGAAGAGGGTGTTCACGGCACTGTTGCTGCCACAAAGAATGCTGGCATGCTGCCCAGGGAGAGCTGAAGACCCGAAGCACACACTGCTGAGTGCCACCGTGCTGCCCAGATGCTCAGATGTCTGAACCTCTACGTGGAATCAACACGGATGACCAGTTGTGCCAGCAGAGCCTGAAGCCTCTAAAATGATAATCATAATCAGAATATTTAAATCAATAAACTACTATTACCCAGGTGGAGAGATTTTCAATAATGAAGTTTTTTCCATGGTGCTTACATCTCACCTGTCTATTTATATCCCTTGGACAGGCAATTTATTACTATTCTTCCACATTTTGGCTTTTATTTTCTCTGGAATTATTGATGCCAGGACCAATTCCTTGCATGTAACTTTTATTTTAAGACAGATTCATTTTTTTGTTTGTTTTTAATTTAAATTTTACATTTTAGGGACTTCTGTTGTTAGTTATTTTATTTTGTTGATTATAATTATTTCATAAATATAGACTGGAGTGTGCAGACGTCAAAATTTTCAAGGTTTGGTGGGATGGAGTGCCTGTTAGTCCTAAGAACTCAGCTAAAAGCCCCTGGTTTAGTCCCTTGCAAAGAACTTCAAGATTTAATTCTTCCACCATTTTTATTATAACATGATTTCTTCATGTCGTGCTACCCACTGTCACTCTTGATGTATTTGTTTCTCACAGAATTATCATCAAGAATTTGAACCAAGATGGACAGTGGTGGCACACTCCTTTAATTCCAGTACAAGGGAGGCGGAGGCAGGAGAATCCCTGTGAGTTCTAGGCCAGCTGGTCAGCAGTCAGAAAACCTTCCCGTTGTCCTAGACGGTCCCTGGTGACTCTGGGTGACAACATGTAGTAAGTCTCCTAGAAGCACTCTCTCTTGGTGACCCTCAGTGGAAGGAAACACTTCACACAAAGAAGCTCACATTATCCAACACTAATTCACACAGTGTTGTCTGCCTTTCCCTCCTATCCACTCCCCTTTAAGAGAGAGAATTCTCCTTCAAAGCCAGGTGCTTTTCTATACAACCTCACCCTCTTCCCTTCTCTAGGACACTCAGTGTCCCTCTGTCCTCAACCTTTGCCTCAAAGTTAAAGTCAGTCATTTTCGGTGACATATGCATTGTGCACTGACAGCCTTCAAAGTGTGGCAGGAAGCAATGGGGTCATAGCAGGGAAATAGACAAATTTTCCCCACTGCATGGAGCTTATATCTGTGGTGCATAGATCTTAAGGCTTTGTTTTTAGATGTACTACAGAGCTACAGCAACACATACAGAAACAACCAACAACATAGCATGATCCCAGCACAAAACACATATAGAAACAATGGAATAGAGGACACAGGAATGAGGGCATGACTGCACATGTCTGATCCAAGCAAAAGCTCCAAAGTATATGTTGGAGAAGACAGCCTCATTAACAAAAGGTATGGAAGAGCCATATGCCCACGTGGAAGAATGAAAAGAGATCCCTGTCTTTCACCTTGTAGAGAAATCAATTGGAAACACCAGTGAAACACACAGGGGGAAATTTAATCTCTAGATATAGACAAGGAGTTTCTGAATAGAAAATTAGAGCAAGAGTTCAAAATGGACCTGCAAGACACGAAAACGCTGCACATCAGGCTGGGGAGACCACTTGATGGGCACAAGCACCTGCTCTGTAAGCCTGAGGATCTACGTGTAGTCCTTAGCAAGAGGGTGGGTTTTGTTGGTTCATGTTTTTTTGTGTGTGTGTGTCTTGTTCTTGCTAGTGTTAAAGCCAGTGTGGTGATTTCAATGAAAATATCCCCCAAAGGCCCACAGGGAGGGACACTATAGGGATTGTAGCCTTATTTGAACAGGTGTGGTTTTCTTGTAGAAAGTGTGTCACCTTTGAGGTTTCAGATGCTCCAGCCAGGCTCAATGTGACTCTCTCTTCCTGCTGCCTGCTTATCCAGATGGAGAATTCTCAGCAACCTCTCCAGAACCATGCCCACCTGCTTTCAACCTTGTTTCCCACCGTGACGATAATGGGCTAAACCTGTGACCTGTAAGACAGCCCCAATTAAATGTCTTCCTTTGTAAGAGTCATTGTGGTCATGGTGTCTCTTCACAGTAACAGAAAAGCAAAGTCAACCAGGCATGTTATATATCCCTATGATCCCAGCATTAGGAGGTGTGGTGGATCCCACTGTCCAGTCAGCCTTATAGAAATGGAAGGTTCCAGTTCAGTGAGAGACTCTACCTCAAGACAACAGGGGAGAACACAATAGAAAGCACCCAACATCACACACATACATGCACCCCAAAAACATTGCACAAGTACCTAAAGCGCAGATTGAAGATAAAGCATACAGAAGGGAGGAAATATTTATCTCCCATTAATCTCACTGGGAATTATTAGTCAGAATGTGTAAAGAAACTGACTGCCAAGTAAACAATCCAAACAATAAAGGAGTAAATGAGTTGGATGCAGTTTTAAACAGAAATACTTGAAAGCATGCTCATGATTGCTGTGTGACCTCTTGAAGAGTCACAAACAAAATCTATCCAGATAGAGTATTTATGCGAGATCAAAGAAACAATTCTACACAAGTCCAGCCTGGTGACCCTTAGAGTGCATTGGGGTTACAGCAGCATACGGTGACTTGGGGCACCTGAATT